AGACGCCTTTCGTTATATTCATGTGATATCAAGAGCATGGCTGGCCACATTCTATCACAACGCCATTGTATGTTCATACGCAACGACAACCAATTTCCTATAGAATTATTATTAATTTTATTGTTATAGCACGTCATATTTTAACAGTAGTAGCACTACCGAATACAGTAGATAACTTTCTTTGCAATATCTAACAAATACACTAAAAGTTAAACGTAATATGGATAATTCTTCACCATCTTGATTGAAACACAAAGAGAGGCATAAAACAAAAAGGGCGAAGCAAAAAAATAAAAATAAAAAGAAAAGACGATATTTCATTATGAAAGTATTTTTATTGTTTCCTAAAGTTTAGTTGAAGCCCTCTTACATATAATCAACTATATATATTGGGAGGGCACCTTTTCCACTGATCATGTTGGCAATGGCTTATTTGTGCTATATATAGAAATATTCTACAAGATTGTAATCATTTCTTTAAAAAAAAAAAAAATCCCATGTGAATCTTTCTTTTGTCAAAGGCAAGATAGTCCTGAAATTTTTAGTTTATGGTGAACATTCATTCTATAAGAATTTCAAAATGAGAGGAAAAACCATAACCTTTATTCTATGTTGCTTTATAATGTCTCATCTGAAGTAGAAAGTGAAGAACATAATCAAAACAAACAAAATTATGCGCTTCTATTTTTCTCCGATCCGCAGCTTTTCCCGTTGCACATCTGTTAGATTTTTCTACTTTTCGATGTCATTTTAACGATGATTGTGTTTGTAAATTAAAAGTGGCATCCTTCTAGAAGAGTTGTTTTATTCAAATGACATGTTTAAGTTTACAACAAAGAGTTGTGTACAAAGTGGAAAGCCATATAGAGAGAAACGTTGTAAAATGCATTACTTTCAAGAAAATTTTACAAGATTTTTGTTTTCTCATTTTCTCTCAATACTTCCGTCCTTCGTAAGTAATGTGCTTGGGACATAACCAATCTAAAGACATTTCATCATTTCACACGACTGTTATTGACTAATTTACATAGTACTCATTTAAAGTTAAAGAAAAGTGAGTTTCATACGTCTTGATGAAACTATATATGATTTCAACAATTAGATTGTGACTAAAAACATGACAGCCTTTGTCTTGTTACAATGTTTTTGTATTCTTTATGTAAGAAAGAGGAGATGCCAAAGAACAAGTGGGTTGATTGTGTTTCAAATAAACATATCTTTAAACAGTTTCACATTTTCTTGTTTTCTTTACTTGAAAGAGAGGTACAAAAGTTAATGGAATCTAGAGAAATCCACGGCCTTTGTTTCTCAAAATCATCATCAAGTTGCACCTTTTTTCACGACTTAGAGTTAAATAGTATCTTTTTACCTTTTCTTATTGAGTGGTTGTCAATTTATCATGTGCTGGATTTGCTTACATCAAGTTATATCAATGTGTATATGCCATCTAATTTTTAAAATTCTTTAGCCATTGATTTATTATATCCGATCTAATTGATTTCGGAGCATTTTGTATATCCGAATCGATTAGCTTTATTTTCTTGATCTTTGATGCTAAATAGTCATTAGCTTTGTAAACTTCTAAATTACGAAAAAAAAATGCTATTTGACTAGCTCTCTTTGGCCTCTCTCCGAAGGACCTACCATCCAACCTAGAGTAACAAGATAAGATCTCTATCTATATTTAAAATAATAATAATAATAAATATTCACTTTTGATTTTGACAAGCATATATTATCTAATCTTTCACTTCGAATAACACAAAATGGTTCAAAAATTAATCCCCAAGTTGCTTCGCCTATTGGGTGGCCGAGTTAGTAGCGCAGGTAAACACGGATAACCTTAGTAGTGGCAATCGAGCCGAGGGGCTGGTCGGTTCGGCTCGTACTGTAGCGACTCACGAGCAAAGCAGACCGGCTCGGAGCAAAGCAGGCCGACTCGGTAGGCGAGCCGAGCTTGCTGGCTCGTTTTTGACGAGCGGCTCGTCTAATTTTTTTTATTATTATTATTATTTTTTTAAAGAAAGATAGTTAAAAAAAATTCAAAAAAGGCGAGTCCGAGCCGAGCTCTTGCTACAGTACGAGCTCGTGGGCCAAGCCGAGCTCGCCCACCAGCAAAAGCTCGGCTCGTTTTATAATGAGCCATGAGCTCGTGGGCAACGAGTCGAGCCGGCTCGACTCGTTTGCCACCACTAGATAACGTGAATGCTAAAGGTCACTAGTTCGAATCCTTTGCCAACACTTCTTCGGTCAAGTCCGTCGCACCGAACTTGCCTAGTGCAATTTACCTCTCCTGTATGGTTTGCGGGCTACCGCACATGGAGCGGGGTTTACCTAGTGCTCATCACAGTGATGGGGCCTCCGCAAAGTTGCTTCGCCTATTGGGTGGCCAAGTTGGTAGCGCGGGTAAACGCGGATAACGTTAGTAGTGGCAATCGAGCCGATTGGCTCGTCGGTTTGGCCGCTCGGCTCGTACTGTAGCGGCCCACGAGCTGCTCGAGCTCGTCAAAAAACGAGCCCCAGCCCGAGCACGAGCTCGGCTCGTTTTTGACGAGCGGCTCGTCTAATTTTATTTTATTTTATTTTATTTTTTTAAGAAGAATAGTTAAGAAAATTCAAAAAGGCGAGCTCGAGCCAAGTAGTTCGGCTCGGCTCGGCTCGCTACAGTACGAGCTCGTGGGCCAAGCCTAGCTCGCCCACCAGCAGAAGCTTAGCTCGTTTTATAACGAGCCACGAGCTCGTGGGTAACGAGTCGAGCTCGTGGGCAACCGGCTCAGCTCGTTTGCCACCACTAGATAACGTGAATGCCAAAAGTCACTAGTTTGAATCCCCTATCAACACTTTTTCGGTCAAGCCCGGCGCACCGGGCTTGTCTAGTGCGATTTACCTCTCCTGTATGGTTTGCGGGTTACTGCACATAGAGCGGGGTTTACCTAGTGCTCATCACAGTGATGGGGCCTCCGCTGATGGGTAGCGGATGCAAGTTCCTACGTCAAAAAAAAAAAATAATAAGAATAATAATAATGCCATAAATAAATATATGCGGATCATTTTTAAATTTGAAATGCTGGGGCTAAATCTTATTCTTAACAAATTTATATTTAAACTTTTTGTAATTATTTCGATTCAGAATATAAAAATCAATTTATTTACAACTATATTATTCAAGCTAGTTTTTTTCAAGTCATTCTCTCTATCTACCATGTTTATAAGGACATCCATCTCTCTTTAGTTTTTGTTAGATCTACACAAATATTTATCTATTCTATGGTTAGTCGTTATACAATTTTGCACTTAATATTTTATTCCGAAAAAATGAAAGAAGCCAATATTATAGCACTCAATATGTTCTTTCTGTCGCCAAAATATATAATTAGGCGCATTTCAGGGATCGAGTGAGATTAACCGTACACAATTATTAATATATTACCAAATTCCCCATGTATTGTGCAGTTGTGCTTGTACTCGGAGCTTTGTCCATTGCACGTGAAACTTGTACTTCAGATTTGAAAGCCCTGTTGCACGACGATTATTTTGAAAAAACAAAGTTTTCAAATAGTGATTTTTAGGAGAGAGTGTGGTTAAAATGTGAGGAAAAATTGAGATTACGATTTTGAGTTCAATTGAGATTACGATTTTGAGGCTCTACATTGGTGATGGTGAAAAGTCGAAGGTGATGATGATTGTAGTGGCGGATACGTTGATTGGGAGTTGGAGGGAGGATTGATGTGCGGTTGGCGATAGAAAGGGGTTGAGCAGAGGTGGCAAGAAAAATTTTGTTTGCAGTTTTCAGTTTTGTAGAACATTCAAAATTTTTTGATTTGATATTTTTGAAAATGTATTTTCTCTTCTAATTTTCGACACTGTATAAAGGAAAAACATGAATGAACAAAATTTTGAGTCCTCAGCATACATTTAACTAGAGTTGGGCAAAATATCCTAACCGAACCGGAATCGACCGAGTTTTTTAAAATGAAATACCCGAACGGGTATCCGAATCGAGAACCAAATGGTTTGGTTCGGTTCTCGGTTCTAGACCAAGAATCGAATAAGAACCGAATTTTTTTTTTTTAATATTGGATAAATTAATTTCTTTTATTTTTTCTAAACAAATTAATAATTCTTTTTCTTATTAAATCTTATTATTTGAACAATTTAGAATTTATTTATGTTTGTTAGTTGTGTTTTTTCAATTTTTTCTTGTATAATTTCTTAGTAGTTAGTATGGAAAGTCAAGCAACAGATGGTTACATTAAATAGTTGGTAAGTATTATCAATACTTTAAAATATTTTATCTTTATGACTTCTTATTTATATTTCATTTTTATGTAGACTTGAAGGTTTGAAGCAAGTGAATTATTGATATGAATTATCGAA